GTTCCTTGTTGATTTTAAGAGATCCTTTCTTTCACAATCACTAGCTGCCATGCTGCCTTCATGATCTGAGATTCTACATTTGGCTTCATTCAAGCAATTCTGCCAGCTTTCAGTGGAAAGTTTGGTTTCCTGGATGTCTCTTAGTATCTGTTTCATGCATTCTAGTTCATTCCTATATTATTCTTTTAATGTTTTCATCTGCTGCCTACGTTCATGCATTTTTAAAAAATATTTCTTCTCTAGATGTGGTGATCAATTCTTTCATTATTATTGTCATTTCATTTTTTGCTTGAGAGATTATTTCTGATCTGATGTCTTCTATGGCCTGATGGAGTTGTTTCTTTACTTCCATTGCAATCATTGTAGCAATTTCAGGTGTGTGCTTATCAAGTTCTCCTATGTCAATGTCTCCTGGACTTGTTCTGAGTAGAGTGGAGTTCTGAGATTGCGTTTTTGTCCTTCATCTTGTCATGACTGTTGCTGGTGGTAGAATGCTCAGTCTCCCTCTTCCTTGGCATCTCAGAAAATGTTGCTAGTGTCCCTAGTTTTCCTGTTGGTGAGGCTTGCCCCTGAGTGTCCCCTGAGTTGCACTGCTTTTTCTGGGGTTCTCCAGCAGATGGTGAAATGTACCGAGTTATTCCAGGTCTCAGACAAGAACTGTAATGTCAGCTGATGGCAAACTCTGATCCAGTGTCTCCTGGTAGGTCAGGCATGTGTATGACCTAGAAGTGGGCTGCACTGATGGTGCAACCATAGACCAGTGTCCTATGTCCACAGGCAGTTCAGAGTGCAGGCAGAACCCAGACACGTATTGCAGTGTAAACAGTTTGTGGACCACCTGATTCTTTGTCTCCAGGCAGCTCACAGCATGCACAGGAGCCAGATGTGCACTGCACTGGTGGTGATCATGGACTGCCTGTGTCTGTGACCTCCAGGGGGTCAGTGCACAAGTAAATCCCAGATGTGAACTGTGGTGCTAGCAATTCGTGGACTGCCTGCTCTTGTACCTCAGGTGGTAGAGCGCATGTGCAAAGAGGGTCCCAACATCAACCCCGGTGTTGCCAGTTCGTGGGCCTTCTGAGTGAGGATCTGCTACCTGCACCAGGCAAATGGAGGGCAGAGACTCAGTGTTCTTGCTTTGATTTGCTTATGTTTGTGATACTGGTATGCTGGTACTGTTCTATTTTTTGTTTGTTTTTCATTTACTACTCTCTTTAAAATAAAAAGAAATGATAATAATAACAATCCACTTCAAGTATAACTCACTTATGTGCCTGATAAGTCAGGACAGGTAATTGTAGAGGGTCATGATTTATTGCCATGTAACTCATTAAGTGTCCTCCCATCATGGCAGCTGTCTTCAGCCAGAGTGCATGATCCCACAAAGGCAAAATGGAAGTCTCAGTAATCCAAAAGCATCAGTCATAGATTATCCTGCAGCTATCACAAGTCAAGCCATTAAAAGTATGGAAACAAATTTATCAAGTTTCCAATCTATTTTTAAGTACTATGTGCTTGTGATCATGTATTACTTAGTTCTATGGGTGATAAACTTTTAACATGATCACTTAATGTCAACCCTATTGTTACTTATTAGGTGAATGGAGGGGTTTTTCTGCCTCGCTTCAATTTTACCTCAACAGGTCCTCATTTTTTGATCATTTTCTTGATTTCTGGCATAACAAGGTATTGAAGACTCATCATGGAATTTCTTAGTCTGGGCTCTGGCATCAGTTGTTTCCATCGTGTCTTGAGAGCACTTATTGTAGAATTTTATGAAAATGTTAGCTATAAACTTTATTGTATCTGCTTGTTATACTGGGAAAAGGTACTCATAAAGCAAGATCTGGGAACTAAGTGCCTTCATAACTTCTGGAATGTCACGTGTATAATCTTGTGCTAGAGAGATGTAAGGAATATGTTTTCTTACCTACACAGACACATACACTCACATCTATGTACCATGTATCTATCTAGAAAAGCATGAATTTATACTAAAACAATCCATTCTATTCTGAGCTATAGAAGGCTCATTGCTGTTGTCTCACTTTCTGAATCACTGACTCCCTTTGTCAACCAGTGAGAAAACAGGATTCTCCCATCTTTGGTATATTTAATTTTGGATCAGCTTTTCCTTATACAGCCACATTTCACCCATGTCATCTCAGTCATGCATTCCTCACTTCACATGGATTATGTACACTCTAGGGAATAGCTTTTCGTACCCAGACACCCCAGGGTGAGCACTTTTTGCCACATTGCTTAGGCTCCCACACCCATCTCAGGCTGCCCCTTACTCAGTCACCTTCTCTGTCCGATTTAGTCTGACTTGGAACAACCATGACTCCCTTCCCTACCCAAGTGTGTGGACAGCCTGCTGTCCCACATATAATGGTTTTGGGACTGAATTAATTAGGAAAGGCAGGGTAGGAGCCAAAACAGAAAAAGAAGAAAACTCTGTAGCTTCTGATACCAGATAAACCTGATTTAGACTTGTCTCCAAATGAATTAACCAGCAACTCATTTTTAATTCAATGTTCATTACATTGAGGCATTGGGATCTGAAAGAATACAGAAAGATAATGAAAATATTTTTCTGGACATCCAGGAGCATCAGGAAAAATGCTAATTGATCTAAACTAATAACAATATCGTAAGTGTCTGAGTTTCACAAAAATGTATTTTTAAACAAAGTAATTAAACTGTGAATATACTTTGCAAGCAATGATTACAAATATAATTAAATTCCATATTTCCTAGTAATCCAAATGGAATCTACAACAGGTGCACATAATCAGTGATTGTATTATAAAATTTTTAATATAAATTTGACTATCAAGTCATTATTCCATTATCTTTAAATTTTTTAGATAAAATTCAGAAATATTTATTTTATTCAACACTTTCGAAAATGGACTGAGCTAACGGGTGGATGAAGACAATCCTAGGAGTATCAAAGAAAATGAATCTGAGTAAGTGACATTGATATATTTTCTTTACATTATAAAACTGATAATATGTGACACCTTGCAAGCTCTATGAATGTACTAAATTCGTAATCATTCCCAGGATGTGGATTAAGTTGAGCATTTGCTGATTTTTTCTTTTCTCAAAAGAAATTTAATTGGTGTTTTGGAGCATAGCATCCTTCAGGAACATTGCAAAAGTCCTGATGGAAAGTGAGGGTCCACTTCAGATTCCATTTCTTGACACAACCTTCAGAACAATGGGTTTTTCTGGTTGCAGAAGATTTTTTCTGCTCAATTTTAAGGGGACCTGTGACAGGTGAAGAAGTGAATTGAGAAACAACCAGTAACTCCAAAAACCAGAAAAGAGAAGAATGAATGCACTAAGAACAGTAATGCTTAAAGTAAAAAAAAGCATTTAAGAATCATATATCTTGAATCTAAACTGAGTCAAAATGGGATAGTGAAAGCTTTCATCAAAATATTCACTCAGTACTAAATCAACATCCATTCTCTACTGGGCATAAGACAAAATTATTTACTTGGTCTTTATTTTTCTTGCTGCAAATTTTAAAGTTTTAAATTTAAGACAGCTACTTATACATCAGGTTAAACTTTCTTAAAGACATAAAAGTTAATGTTTTGGTCTGTGAAGGTGGAAAGGTAATCCTGAATTGACATTATACCTTTCAATGACCTAGGAATCCTCTAAGTATTCTTGGCAGCCGTCGCAATTGAATCCATTTATTTAACTCTGGAGATACTATTTTAGTGAGAATTATGACTTTGAAGCCTTACATCTGTCCCTTGGCTTCTAAGAGAAGTGCAATGGGAAGCTTTTGAGTCCTACAGTGATCTGTCTAAACTTTTCTCCCAATTCTCTCTCAGTCATTAGTTTATCAAGGGGAAGCATGCAATCAAATACTCTTCTGATCATATTACATGGAGGAATAAGTATAGTGTTATGCAAATTCCAGGTAACTGGGAGTTTACCAGGGAGGGTCTACCCATTCCAGGTGAGCCAAACATGGTATTTCTAGAGAGTAAAACTGTGCTTTGTACACACAGAAGAGTAAAATAACTACCACAAAGCCACAACAGAATAATAACTTTATATGCCTGCTATCTGCTGCAGAAAGCCCACTGAGAAAGAAGTGCGACATAAATTCAGGAGTAGTAGAAATTATCTTAACTAACCTCTACTTCATGTGAATCAAAGACATCTTTTATTTTAGTTCTCCAAAGGAGATATTTCAAATAGTTCTCTAAATGTACAATTTTATTGTAAAATTTCAATAGGCATGCATGTATTTTCTCCAGAGACAGGAAACAAAAACTACATACACAAACAGAAAGACACAGACACACACACACACACACACACACACACATGCACACGCACACATGCACACACACACATACAGATATTCAGAGGTACATAAATGTCCTTTGTTAATATTTATAAATAAAATAGCTGAAATTTTGACTAATAAATTCAAATAACCACAGCTCACTTAAAAATTTAAGCATTTAGAAAGTGATTGACAAGGCCTCCCTATTTGAAGGCAAAATTGGATACATATGAAAGGAATAGCTCGCTGCCGCACACCCGCGCTGTCTAGGAAACGGCGGCGAGGAGGGGGGAATGGGGGGAGTGGGGGGTGGGGCCGGCGCGCACACCGGTGGACCCAGCACGGGCTCGCGGCGTGGATATATCTGTTTCTAAGGTGGCAGTAATTACCATGCTATCCCAAACCCACATGCCTTTTGAGAAGAGATAGAAGATGTGAACTCAAACAGCCAATTTGCTCTGCTTGCAATCTGTAAGAATTTTCATCCAAGGACAAAGCAGAGATTGAATTGTGTACCCTTAATGAATCACCTCTACCAAGACAACAATGGGATGAAAAACTTAAAGAATAGAGAGGCAGGTATTTCCCAGCCACTCCCTGAGGACAGTGCGTGCACACCAGGACCCCGCCGCCATTAAGAACGGAGTCCTGGCCTCCCTGCTCCCACGGCAGAGAGGAGGTTTTCACTTGGAAGCCCCAGGGTCTTCTCTGGCTGCGGGCGGGGTGAACAGACTCTCATCTCTGCACGCCCTGTGCTGAGTGAGAGAGTGCTCCAAAAGACGCTGACCCGTGTTTTGAGTGTGAGCTTTGCCTATGCCCAGAACCCCTAGCCAGCAGAAGGCTGGGAAAGTCTGTAATCGATACCCATCTGGGCTGCAACTGGTTCCTGTATGTATCATGATCTGACTGGAGACATAGATTCAGGTGGTTCACAAACTGTAGATCCTGCAGTTTGGGTCTGAATTATGACTGCACCCTAAATTACCTGGAGACATAGATCACGGACCGGGATTACCACACCAGTGCAACCCGAGTCAGGTTGTGCACGTGCCCTGAACTGCAAGGGGACACTGGATCAGACGGTCGGCCATCAAACAACACAGGTGCCCATGTCAGAGAATGGGGAAAACTAGATATAAATCAAAAACTGCTGGAAAACCCGAGTCTAAGTAGTGCTACTCAGAGGTCACCCAGGGGCAAACCTGAACAACAGGTAAAGTAGGGATACTAGCAGTTTTGGCTGACCAGCTACTGAAGAGGAAAACTGAGCTTTCTGCATCCGGTAGCAAGCATGCCAAAACAAAAGACTAAAACACAAGCTCAGAACTCTACCCCAATCAGAACAAGTCCAGTTGTGCCCAGACAGCGAGTTCTCTGGGACCAGTAGGACTCCTGGGTCCGAGTTTGCGCTGGATGCATACCACCACGATTCCCAGCTGAAACGCCCGCACAGAGCCAGGTAGGCCCCATCAAATCCCGGAGAGCAGGACACAAGAACAAAGACCCCGCGGACATTGGAGACTGAGTTCCTAGGGGCAGGGAGGCCCAGGGGACGAGCGGGGTGAGCAGGCCCTCGGAGCCGGCTGAGCAGGATCCCCCAGCTCCCCACGCCTTGCGCCCAGACAGTGAGTTCTCCAGGAGGGGCAGGACTCTTGGGTCCGAGTTTGCGCTGGACGCATACCACCATGATTCCCAGCTGAAACGTGTGCACAGAGCCAGGTAGGCCACATCCAATCCCGGAGAGCAGGACACGAGAACAAAGACCCCTCGGACATTACAGACTAAGTCGCTGTGGCAATAGAGAGGAGATCCGGACTGCGAGGCCCAGGGACTTCTCCAGCTGGGGGTGGGAGAGCAGACTCTCTGAGCCAGGCAAGCAGACTCACTGAGAACCACGCAACCTGCGCCAAGAGAGCAAGTACTCCAGGAGCAGCAGGGCCAGTGGATTCAAGTCTGTGCTTTGCCTTTGCCCAGACCCTCCAGTGAGGCAAAGGCTGGGGAAGTCTGTGACTGCTACCCATCTGGGCTGAATCTCGTTCATGTACGAGTAGTGAACTGAGTGGAGACATAGATTTAGGTGATTCACAAACTGTAGACCCTGCAGTTTGTGTCCGAATCATGCCTGTACCCTAAACTGCCTGGAGACATAGGTCCACTGGAGCGGGATTGTCGCACCAGTGCAACCTGAGTCAGGTCGTGCACGTGCACTGAACTGCAAGGGGATGCAGGCCAAGAAGATCGGCCATCAGTTGACACAAGTGTCTACCCCTGAAAACGGGGATAACTAGATACAAATCAAAACCTGCCGGAAAACCCAAGGCTAAGAAGAGCAACTCAGAGGTCACCCAGAGGCAAACCTGAACAACAGGAAAAACAGGAACACTAGTGGCCTTGGATGTGCAGCTACTGAAGAGGGTAAATGAGCTTTCTGCAACTGATAGCAAACATGTCAAAACGAAAGACTAAAACACAATCCCAGAACT